TTTTTTTTTTTTTTTTTTTTTCAAAAAATCAAGTTGTTCCATAAATCATCGTATTAATGATCAGAGTATGGTGTTGTAAAGCTACAACATTTTATAAAACCCTCATCATCCTTTGATTCAATGAGCAGTCTTTGGTTTTTGATGTATCGGAAGTGTTTTGTTGCTTCCTAACCTGAACTTTAGAGGCTCTTTTCTGACTGGAATAGGTGTTGTTTAGGTTTACCGTGCACACCCAAAAAGTGATATTTACATTTGTCGATAATTTCAGCTGTCTGTATATAAGGTTTTTGAGTTCTTTAATTCAATAGGATCAGTCTCAGGAAGTTCTTTTTTTTTGTACTGTGTAAAGGTTACTCAGTACCATTTATTACTTTTCAGCCCCGAGTGTACGAAAGTGGAAATTGTTTTTATTTCCAGTTTCTTTCAGGGATTTGGAGAACTAATCAGTAAAGCAGCGATAAAAAGTGAAATTGTGAGAGGTCTGGTGTGAAATGACTGATGTGTTCAGATCAGATCACAAATACATTTTTTCTTTTTCAGTTTTCTTGTTGATTTACTGAAAAAATGGCTGATGATATTTTAAATTTGGTGGGGAAGAAGAAGAAAGCAAAAAAACCGATTATGCTGGATGAGCCTTCAGCGGATGCGCCTACAGGAACTCCGGATCCTGGGACAGAAGAGCTGGTGTTGGGTTTGAAGAAGAAAAAGAAAACTGTTAAGCCATCGGTTCTGGTAGAAGAACAAACTCAAGAAAAAGATGTTGAGCCGTACGCGCAAGGCATTGGAATGACAAACTTGATCGATGCAAAGGGACAGTGGCCAAATTATTCTTATGATCAACTTTTGGAATTAATTTTCGGGATCATGAAGGAGAAAAATCCTGAGCTTGCTGCTGGTGAAAAGAAAAAGTTTATTATGAAGCCTCCCCAAGTGAGTTGATGTTGCAGAATTAACAGGAAAGCTTCTTCGCCTTGAAGAGGGCTTTTTTTTTTTCAAGCATTTTCTAATGGTGACATTATACATCTTAGTGTGCGTGCCTATTGTATCCGCATTTTTAGCTAAGATCTTAACGTGTTTTAAGATTGCTCGTGCTGGTAGCAAAAAAACAGCGTTTGCCAATTTTGCCGAAATCTGCCGATTGTTGAAACGACAACCGAAGCATGTTCTTCAATTTTTGATGGCGGAGCTTGGTACCACAGGATCTATTGATGGAAACAACTGTTTAATTGTCAAGGGTCGCTTCCAACAGAAGCATTTTGAAAGTGTTTTAAGAAAGTATATAAAGGTAAGCGTTTGTTTGAATTTTTCTTTGAGATTTAGTGATTCAACTTATAGTACAGCTTTGACTCTGGAAAGTTAAGTTACTGTCAGTTTGATGTAAATTATATGATCGGAACGACGGTTTTTGTCAAATTTTTGGTTTATAAATAATTACGTTAGTGAAAGATACTTGTTTTAGGAATATGTTACGTGCCATACATGCAAATCTTCTGATACTGAGTTAACCAAAGATACTCGTTTATTTTTCCTTGAGTGTAACACCTGTGGAAGTAGGTGCTCAGTTACAGCTATAAAGAGTGGCTTTACTGCAATGGTTGGTAAGAGAGCTGCTGTTCGTGCTGCAGAAGCAGCAGCAGGGAAGTAAAAGTTTGATAAAGGAGACTTATTTTCTTTCTAATATAATTTGTTCTTGGACAGTAAAACATTTTTTCCTGATGATTTTGTTATCGTTATATCGGGTATCATGGAACGGGTCTCTGATTAAATTAGACATTCATTATATACCAATTTTGATAGTGGTTGTGGCCAAGTTTGGTCCCCTTAAACGCTATTTTTTTCATTGTTATGGAGTTGGAATAGGAAACATACAAATGGCGTCTCCATCTTACTCGTTTCCGTATTGTTAATTTTTTTAACATCTGTGAAAATGAACTTATGGGAAGAATAAAGATTTTTTGGATAACAGATCTATCACTATTAAGTTCAGAAACTTATTTTGTGCTGCTTTCATATTTTCAGGTTCCTGCAATGTTCACAAAGTTTTTTTACACTGTACGAATACTTTGAAGTTGTCCTTATTTTCATACAAGCTATTGTCACATGGTTGGGACTTTTTGTAGTCCTCTCTGTTCGTCCTCCTCAAAAGTGGAATCTTCTTTCCTTTATTCTGCGTAACTTTGTTTCTGGGTTCCCATCGTTCCTCCCTTTATCTTTCCCAGCATTCCAACCTTTTTCGCAGAGGAGAGATGGGAGGAGAACAACCCATTATAGAAGCTAACAGGGAACAGTAGTACACGTACGGAAATGTAAGAGTGAAACAAAGATTTTCGACGTCTTTCCGTCAAGATATCTTACAGGAGGAAGGACAAAGTTACAAGAGAGTATTTACTGTCAGTTGAAACCAATTAACTATTTGAATGGTATAAGTTTTTTTTCTGTACCGCTTTTCCTTAAATTATAATACAGCTCTATCTAAATGAGTGTCTGAAAAAAAAAGAGGTTGAGGTTAGGAAATGGCAGTCTTTGTTGTATTTGACTGTGCAAAGCCTTTTTGTTTTGATAAAATGCAGTGGAAAAGGGAGCTTTTTGAAGGACTTTCTCAAAAATGTTCAATCTGCAATATGCCGAGGTATCAGTTTGGAAAATTTTGTGCAGTTCTGCGGAGCTTAATAACTTTTCGAGAATCTGCACGTAATTTTCAGCGTTAGAGTTCACTAAATTCTGGTTATAACTTAATTTCTTTCAAAAGAATCCCGCGTTAATGATAGCTTGAGCCAGTTCTCCGTAAGTTTGTCGCCCACGAATCGGAATTCGCAGCAAAGCTCGAACAACATTATATTTTAATTTCTTTAGAATATGCAATTAATTGGACCTTACGAAAAAGATTAGTGCTTTCTGTTGGAACATTCTCTTCCACTGTTTCCATATAGACTCTTCCAAACTAAATGGTACTCTTCAAGCCAGTATCCCTTGAAGCTTCAGATTTTCTCTTGTATGCGTCGGTGAACAACAATCTGTGAACCAATAATAAAGAACTGTAAAATATTAAAACAGTGAAATCTGCTGCCTTCTAGCCATATACCGTTTTTGGAACTCCTTTTACTTTTTTCCGGAGCCTCAATTTATTGGCATCTCCCATCTGTATCCTTTAAAGTGATCTTCATGTCATGGGTGCCATAAAACTTGTCGGGTCCAAAATTTAGGCAAAAAACTAGAACTTTTTAGTTTTAGGTACCCATAATTCTGGAAAACTTGTTGAAATTGCTTATTACAATGAATTTTTGTTGAAAATGTGTGCTTCAGATGAATGGGATTGGAAAGGAGAAGTTGTGGAGTTGAATTTGCGCAATCATGAACGGTTAATCGAATAAAAGATATTACTGCAAGTGACGACAATCTTACAGGGTAGGTAAACTGAGAATTCTTCTTCCTAGCAAAAAACGTCAAGTCGATGGTGAGAAAAGCAAAAATCTGTGAGGAAAAAGGCTAAACAATAGCTTTGTTACGTTAAAATTCAGTTAGTTGCAACTATAAAATAGTCTCGAAACGAACTACTTTGTTTTATATTTGACTTCTTTGCCGTCTAAATTATCGGTCTGCAAATTCTATCAGCGTACTATTGTTCAATAGATTTCGTTGTAAGTCTCGAAATTTTTTGACTCAGGTCCTGTGCAAAATTCTTTTCATTGAACTTGTTCACGCCCTAATTTGGAGCAGCAAAGGATCATGCGTTGCTCCGTTTAAGAAATTTATGCACTTAATTACTGTTGAAAAGTTTCAAGTAGTTTTTTTAAAGGTTGCGTGGTTGTGTGTTTTTTATAGCGGTAAATGTTTTCCATCATTTCCACAAAATTAGTAAAATACATATTACGGGTTTGTTCGCGAATATTCCTGTTTCTTTTCTACGCCAATGAACAGTGTAAAACTTATTGACAGCAAACGACAGTGTGGTGGTAGCAGTGGTACCAATTTGTTTTATTGGTAAATTGGTGTTGCGAGGGTTTTATAAACCAATTTCTTTGTCTTTTAGTTTGTTGGTTGTGAATGTTTTTCTTTTTTTTTTTTTTTAAATAGGACTATTGGTTATTTTTGTCCACATTGATTACAGCTAACTGTTGGATTTGCAGTAGTAATACAAAAGTAAAATATAATCATAACTATACCGTAGTTGAGAAAGGGAAGCTGAGTTTGGTAACTAAAATTTCAAACTATATTATTTCAAAAAAAAAAAAGAACTATGATATCTTTCATACCAAACAACCAATTTTACGACTTTCTCTCTGCACATACCTTTTAACATCTGTGCAGCGGTGAATAAGGGTTTTGGTTTATTAGTATTTTCATTATTGTTGTTACTCTTGCTACTTTTGTTGTTATTATTATCGTCAGCATTGGTCTTCGATTTCTGCTGGTTACGGTGCCATATTGTCGGATTTCCGACTCATTGTTTTAAACGCAGTGGCAATTGTTTGAACAACACAACAAACATAAAAGAGCGTTTTGAAAAACCAAATTTTACAATTAGGTATCACTTTTTTCCTTTACTGGCTTCAGTAGTACAGTACGTTTCAGTAATTCAGCTGATTCACTTTTTTTATTGTCTGTATCAGAGAGCATTCTTTTTTATTTCTTCGCTTTTAATTTTTTGAGCATTCCTCAAATTATTCCTTTGAAATCTTTTTTATTTTTCGCTTTTTTGTGCATTTTGCTCTGTGCCATACGTTCAATTCAGACTCTAATTGGGAATTTATTTGAAGTTGGTCAGATGAAGGGATCAATGGTTTCAAGTTAAGGTATATGATAATTGATAAAACAGTTAGCATTATAAGCTCACCGAGGCTTTCTTGGCTTCCCTAATCATTGATTTATTTGTTATTCTTTGTCTTTATACTGCGGATTCCAATTGATTTCACGAGAGATATTCCGTTTTTCGCTAGTCAATTGAAGAATTCATGTGAACAAAAGCAAAATTTTCAAGAAACTTGTGGTCATCATGATGGATGGTGAACGTTTACAAAGCGAGATTATGAGCCAGGGTGATGCAGTCAGGAGATTGAAAGGCGACCCGCAAGCGACAGAAGTAAATTAGTGGTTCTCTCTTCTACTTTTTTAAAATTGACGTTCTGAACTTTTTTGCCTGAAGAAGGTTTTGAAAGATATTCTCATTTGATAATGAGGTGTATTACTATTGTTTTGCGAGTTTCACTAGACATTCAAATTTTTTAAGTTGTTTTAGGAGGAGAAAAAATCGGCAATAGAAAAATTAAAACAACTAAAACTGGACTATAAGACTGTTACTGGGAAAGAGTATGAGCCTGCTGGCCAAACAAAGGATAAAAAACAGAAACAAAAAGTATGGCATATAATGATTTCTGCTATGGTTGTAGATAAAACTTAATTATAGCTTTCGCTCATGAACTTTCAGAATGAAAAGGAAAAGGCAGCTAAGACTTCTAAAAATCAGGAAGTAAAGAAGCAAACGAAATTGGGTATTGAAGTGTCAAAGGATGAAAATTGTGCGGAGTGGTATTCTCAGGTATGTATTTCTCTTGATGTTTTGAAATGAGTTATAGAACTGTCTGGATTAAGTTGCTGCTGACTTGTTTCACTGGTTTTTAGTGTATTACAGGTGTTAACGAAATCTGAGATGCTTGAATATTATGATGTGTCTGGATGTTATGTATTACGTCCGTGGTCCTATGCTATTTGGGAAACTATCCAAAGTTGGTTTGATGCCGAAATAAAAAAGCTTGGAGTTTCAAATTGTTATTTTCCAATATTTGTATCGCAAAGTGCTCTTGAGCGTGAAAAAGCCCACATTGCTGACTTTGCTCCTGAGGTAGATGTCAAGTAATTTTATATTCCGAATCCCAGAAATTATTTCTTCATCTTTTTGGAATTTTTAGAAATCTTGTCAGCGCATCCAGAGTGCTTTATCTGGTCTTCTTTTAAAAATTAATATTCTTTCTATCAACGTCTGCTTCTTTTTAGTAAATGGTTTTAATATGAGACCGTTTGGATCATTTTGTTTTTCGCTTTTTAGGTGGCATGGGTAACAAGGGCGGGGCAATCGGAGATGGCTGAACCAATTGCTCTTCGTCCAACCAGTGAAACAGTAATGTACCCCAGTTTTGCAAAGTGGATTCAGTCTCACCGCGACCTTCCGCTTCGTGTTAATCAGTGGTGTAATATTGTAGTAAGTTCCAGCTTGCAACAGATAGATTGGATTGTAGCCTTTACAAGGCTTATGTTTCTCATTATAACTATAAAAAAGAAATTTTGTTGTTTGGTGCAGTGTTTTTTGAAACTAAGTTGCTATGACTGCTTCACTTATGAAGTTTCCCGTATACTTTGAAGCGGGTTATTTTGATCGCTATGAATTGGTTTACGACTCATAGTTATGGCGAAAGCTCGTAGAGTGAGAACTGTTAACTTTTGGACTGAACTGTTTGTATTTTAGTCCGCTAATGGCAACAAAGTATGTTTTTTATATTCTAGAGGTGGGAGTTCAAGCATCCAACGCCGTTTTTGAGAACTAGAGAGTTCTTATGGCAGGAAGGCCACACTGCTTTTCAAACGAAGAAGGAAGCTGAAGAGGAAGTACTTCAAATTTTAGATTTATATGCAAAGGTCTACACTGACTTGCTGGCGATTCCAGTAATCAAAGGACGGAAGACAGAAAAAGAGAAGTTTGCCGGTGGAGACTACACTACTACAATTGAAGCCTACATACCCGTCAATGGCCGAGGCATACAGGTATACAGTTGGTTATTTTTCGATCTATGAGCTTTTGCCTTTTTCCACTTAGGTTGTAAATCCTCTGTGTTCTCAGGCGGCTACTTCTCACCATCTTGGTCAGAATTTTTCGAAAATGTTTGGAATTTGTTACGAGGACCCAGACAGTGGGGGAAAAGCTTTTGTTTATCAGAATAGTTGGGGGCTCACTACGCGGACTATTGGGACCATGGTAATCATTCATGGAGACGATAATGGTTTAGTGTTGCCGCCAAGAGTTGCTTCTATTCAGGTTTCGTATTGACTTTCTTCCAGAGGATAAAGTGGTAGTATTTAGCCATTTTGGTTATCTTATTTTTCGCATAGCTTTTTAATGTTTTCAGCAAGCTATTAATTATAGTCTGCATACTGTACTATTTAAACTGCAGAATTGAGCCGTAGAGCTGCAGCTAAAATATTTTTTAGTATCATTTAGTCATTCTTTTCTAAGTATTTGGTTTTATCTATTTATTGCCTTGCATCTTCTTTCTGTTAAAATCAGTAATTCCTAATTTGTGGAGGCAAAAATCCTTAGGTTGTGCCTGATTTTCTTCTTGTTTTTGTTATTTTTGTTTTTTATCTAGAAATTGGCAGCGGGCGTATTTGCGATGTAGCCTTAAAATAATCTTTGTTTCTGATGCGGCGGTACAGTAGCGGCCACTGGTTACTAAGTGCTGACTTGGGCTATGAGGATGCTCTTTTTTTGCAGTATTTATTTATTATTTTTTACTGATATTAACTTATTAATTCAAGGTCATCGTGGTCCCTGTAGGATTAACTGCACAGACCTCTGAAGAAGAGAGAAATTTTTTGACAAAGAAGGTAGAAGAGGTCACTTCTGGGTTACTCGGTGTGAATATTCGGGCGAAAAGCGATTTGCGGGATAATGTTTCACCGGGGTGGAAATTCAATCACTGGGAATTGAAGGGTGTTCCAATAAGAATGGAACTAGGCCCACGGGATATGAAAAACAAGCAGGTATCCAGTAAAATTTATGGCTTTTAGTTGTTTCCTAAGTTATTTAAATTCAGTTTTGTTTTGCTGCTCTTGTGTCTTTTGTCGTTTTGAGATTCAGGTTTCTTCAGTAATCGTTTTACTGCTTAAGGTATTATGTTTTCTAGCATTTTTTACTTAGTTTAGAAAGTTTCTTAGTAAGGAGTAATAGATATCTTCCAGGTAACTTGTGTTATTAGACACTCAGGAGAGAAAAGGGCCATTCCGTTAGCTGGTTTGTTTGATGCTATTCCGAAAATTCTCGATGAAATCCAAAACAAAATGTACAAAAAGTAGGTGGTTATAGTAATCTTTTTTGTAGAGAATTCTTTCAAGTTTTTTCAGTGCAAATATTTAGGGTGCTGGAGGCTCGTGACGAACATTTGAAAATGGCTAAAAGCTGGAGTGAGTTCAGAGAACTTTTGGATAAGAAGAATTTACTACTTTCTCCGTTCTGTGGCGATAAGGAATGTGAAGAGAAAATTAAAGCAGAAAGTGCTCGGGAAGATGTTACAGAAGTTGGAACTTCTGCTATGGGTGCGAAATCATTATGCATTCCTTTTGAGCAGGTAAAGAGTTGATTTTAATTTTGTTTAATTTCTGTATGAAATTTCTTTTGTTTTATTTTCTTACAGCCGGCCGAAAAGCTTCCTGAAAAATGCATTTATCCGCATTGCAAGAATAAGCCGCAGTATTTTGCTCTTTTTGGAAGAAGCTATTGAGCTTTCACTTATTCTCTTCGTTTAATTTATATACGGTGCTTTGAAGCGTTTGTCGTCCCATCTCATTTATAGCTTCTAGTATAATTATATTAAGTTTCGGAAGAATTAGTATTTTGGTGTGATTCTGACAAACCTTGCCAGGTTTTTAAACTGAAGTTGTTACAAAATTACAACACGCTAATTGTTATTTACTTGTTATATTTATTATTTTTTTTTGTTTATTGATTGTTATTGTTGTATGATTATGACTTTATTTTTGGGGATTGTTTGGGATCTTAAATGTTTCTCTTTTGTTAAGTATTTCAGTTATATGAAAAAAAATATGTTGGGGGTGGTGTTCGAGGAATAAAAGTTTCAATCTTTGGAAACGTATTTTATTATCAGCATAATTATGAAGTGGGCGTTCAGCCGCATGTATTTGTTGGAGTTTATTATTGCGTCGTTTGCGTGTATGCATCCAGCGTAGCTTTATGGAACAAAAAGTTTTGTATTTTTGAAAGATAGTGTTATTTGAAGACTTTCGTTTCAAATAACTGGATGAAAAATAAGAAACCATTTGTTTTTATAGTGGTTTGACGAATGACTGAGAGCGACACAGAATTTGATGCTTCTGCGCATGAGAAACTGTTGGCAAGTATAGAGGAGTTAGGCAGGCCTGCTGGCGGCAAGAAACGGTTTACATTAAGGAAGCATGCAAAGAAAGCGTCTGCTAGCGACTTAGTAGCTGCTATTTCTTCTACGAGGTTTGCTTATAAGTCGTTTGTTTCGAGAAAGGGTTTCTGGTGTGTTAGGTTCTGTTAGGTTCTGCTAACCTCTCAAGTAAGACTTAGCTTTTAGAAATGTGTACAGCCTCAAAAAGGAATTTGAAAAAAAGAAGGGGAAAGGCAAAGCCGGTCATTCTGCAAGAGCGGTACAAGCTCCGCTACACCGGCTTGCGAAAGAGCGCTTGGAAAGTAGTATCGCTTACAAGGAAACTAGGTTTCTATTTCTTCTCTAATCTTTTAGTCGAATTATTAAGCAGTTGAATGTTGTACTCATACAGCGTAGACTGACCACAGATGGACTAGTAGTGAGTTGGCTTAGGCACTAATTGCGGTAGTTTAGCGAAGAGTTAAAGTTATGGAGACCTGTTGTGCAACAAAATCGATTAGCGGATCAAAGGGTGTTCCCTTTAGATGAAGAAAATTTTTATCCTCTTGAGGGAACCGAAAGGAAACAGAATTTTAAGGTACCCTAATGACAGTTCTTTTCTATTATGCTTTATTCCTGACAACTGGATGACTATTTTGTTCTTTGAATACTCGGCATCTTAGTTTTGGAATTTCTCAGGCTCGAACTCCTTTGGAAGTTGAAATGGCGAAGATTTTGGGGACGACAAAAAACAATCTGGGGAATGAAGACACTTATACTGCCGCTGAAAAAGAATTAATCAAAGCCATGAGTTTAAAAGAAGTTTCTTTTTGTTCCAGCCTTTTACAATTTCGTTTAAGTTTATTTTGTTAGCGTTCCTTTTTGGTGGGTTGTGTTCCTTTATAATTTTTAATAGCAACGTTTTCAGGCAAAAGCTAAATGTGCACAACTGCAAAAAATGCGAGCATTAATGAGCTACAGAGAAGCAAAGCTAAAGCGTCAAGCAAAAATTAAAAGCAAAGCGTAAACTTTCAGTTTTTTGTCCTGTGTCACTGGGTGGTCATAATTCTGGCTGCTAGTCTTTTATTTAGGGTTTTGCTTTTGCTTTCATTTTGTTGGTAGAGAAACCAAAAATGTTATCTAAATTCCAATTTCTCTTTTATTTCCAAAATAAGAAGATCAGTTTCCACTCTGTTTCAGGTATCATCGTCATTTGAAAAGACAAAAACGGAAGGAGTTGATCAAACAGTTTGATGAATTGCTTGTAAAAGACCCTGAATCCGCAAAGGAGAAATTAGCTGAAATTGACCGCCAACGTATTTTGGTATGATACCTTTGAG